TGTAATAATAATTCATGATTGTGTGGCAGCTAAGCATCGGTAGAATTATCGGTGTACTGCTGTCTATGATGATGATGATGAATTTGCTCAAGACTGCTCCAGGAATAGAATGTGGAGGAGTGTAGTTTGAATAACTTTTGTTAGTTTTACAGTAATATGGAGGGAGATGATCACATGCCTGGCATTAGGAATAATAGTAATGTTTAAAACATTTGATACAAATGACACCACCTTTGATTGGAGTTTTCTCTTCTCTTTGTCTTTCTCCTTTTAGTTCCCCATTACATGGTCCTGATATATGTCATATTTAAGTACACACTTCACATGACATACAACTTATCTTTACTTTTTAGGCATGATTAAAGAAAACATTATCAGTAAGCAACGTGACAAAATTACTGCACAAGTATCTTACTTTAATCAGATAATGTGATGACTCTAGTAAGCAAGTTGCAATTCTGTTGACTGCTAAGTAGGAGTATGCAAATTTATTGCACATTTGTTCAGTGGTTAACTTTTGCATTTTGTATATTTGCATTACAAAATAGAAGGCTTAAAAACTTCAGAATATAAAAACTGCTGAATCTCAACACTTTAGCATAAAAAATGTTTTATAACAAAATAACTGGTACCATCCTTAAATGAATATCACCATTTAATATCATACTTCATAACGATAAACATGCTGAAGACTGAAGTTGTTTAAAGCTGATATTCACATTAAAACATAGATACAAATTAGGAAAAGATTATCTTAAACCAAGTAAAACTATACAAGTGGACTTGCACAGGATTCCATACACATGTTGTAAACATGCACATGGTTGTTCTACTATAGGTAAAACAGTTTACATACTAAATGTTTTTTGGTCATCACTTGTATGATAACTTCCTCCCTAACAGACCCTTGGCCTCTATAAGAACCTTCTGCAACCATTAAACAAATATATTTTGTTAAGTTACTTTTGTCTATGTAGGGATATTCCTTTAGTATTAAACATACTTGAGTTTATTTCATGTTGAAAGTAAAAAATATTCTAGGTAAAATATGTTTGATATTATTTTGTGTACAAACTTATAACTCCTTAAGAGCCACTACTGTTAAACACACTGAAGTTTATTTTACATTGAACTAAGACATGTTAGATCAGGATAATACATGAACCTTAAAATATAGTCCCTCAACACAAAGATCATACGTTCATTGTTAAATATGATAGACATTAATATAAGTTACAAAGACTTCAAAAACTTAATAGTATGCCAACCAATGTTATTTATGTTAAAGTTGTTTCTTAGTGCAATTATTACTTGAGTGTTAGTTGTTGCTTTTCAACCATTTTTGCAAAATTTAATTTTTGAGCATTCTTTTTTAATAAACATATATAATTGTGTCTATTCTGAATACCTCTTTCAGATATTTGTTTTGAATATTCATCCAAAACTACACAAAGGCTGTCTGATATTATGAACTGATAGACTAAAGGAAAGGCAGCTAATAAATAGCATCTACCAACAACTTATGAGCTACTATTAACGAATAACGAAATTTTATCCTCACTCTCATTCAGTACCCACCTCATAAAAGTGCAATTTTCCAGCAACATGGGGTATATCCATAGTCGTGCACATTAGACACTAGGCTATGCTCTGTTCACTTCCAGATATAAAACAATGTTAAAGGTAAAGGTTTTTGCAAACATTAGATTTATGAAATATGTTCATAAAAGTACTGTTATCGAAGAGTAAAAAAATTTTTAAATGTTTATTTCATGCACTAAGAAATGATAATTTTTGTTGTACCATGTGGCTTTCTGGAGGTTATATATCATGTGAAAAACAGATTACAGAGTAATGAAAATTTTAACACAGTTCCTCTGCAATGCATAAGTCCAGCAACCTTGACTGTTTTAAATATTTATACACTTTCATGTATTTGAAAAAAAAAAATTGTAGTGCAAGTATCTCAGAAATTTTTTCTTGTTAGTAGCAAAGGTTGTAAACTTTAAAAAATATGTACACTCAATGAAGATGAAAAACAAAATATAAAGAATTCATTTCTGAATTTTTCTTTTCCTAAGCAAAATGTGTAGTTTCAGTGAAGAAAACAAAGAATATGGAAATGGCATATATGCCTAATCTATTCTTTGATTTGCTACTCCATCTGCAGCAGACTAGTTTTGCCAAATTCACAGTTCATCAGTGCTGCATGGGAGAGAGAAGCAAATAAATATATTAGGCCTTATATTGTGGTAGAATGTAAACAACTGTAGGTTTTGATGTAATAGCCGTGACCCGCCACTAATAACCTAAAACATTTTAGATGTATGAATAAAATTTGATTATACTGTCACACTGAGTTAATTTTTCAGTGGACTAGCTGAATTTTTTCTTCTTCACCAAATTGTGTAATTCTTTACTAAAATTACACATTTTGGTGATGAATTAACAATTTACAAATAAAGTACCAGCTAGTCTACTGAATAACAATGAATAATTAACTGCAATGGTTTGGTTACATGTTATTCAAACACCTAAAGTTTCTTAGGTTATTAGTGGTCAGTAAAGGATTATATATCAAAACCTACAACATAAGAAGTTATTTGCAAACATAAGCGTATTTTAAAACCAGACTTCTGTTTTGTCCCTATACTTTAAGAATTGTACTTTCACACTGCTAAGCAATCAATATTCAGTCAGAAAAAAACTTTGTTCGATTACTATTTTGTTTATATACTTTTATATAAATAAAGATGAACTTAAAAGATGTATATATTTTTAGCTTCTGAGAAAAGTGCAAACACAAAAACCAATATATCATACTGTAAAGTATTTATTCACTTTATAACCAGCCTTTTTAACACCTAAAACAAAGAGAATAACCATGGAGATTAACTTTATACTGGCAATATCAAATTGTCAACACCAGCTAAATAGATCTTGGATAAAACTGGAAAGAAATTTACAGAAAAGTGATAAATTTAAAAACTTAAATTTTGATCAATTATGAAGAACAAGTTTTTTTATATAATATTTTTTATACTTAAAGATAAGCTTAAGAAATCTTTATAATAAATTATTTAAAGTACATGTTTATTAAATGTGAACTTTATATAGATAGAAGAAAACTAAAAATATCCAAGATGGAAATAAATTGAATAACAAAGAAGTCATATTCTCATGCAACACATTAAATGCTAACAAATAAAGTATCTTTTTAGAAAAAAAATTGTAAACCTGTTTCAAACATTTAATGGAACAACCATATCATTCCATTGTTAATAAAACGTTTTAGATAAACACTAACAGTTTGATTCCTGTAAGGACTTTGAATGGTTTAGTTTCAAATAAGTTTCTAGTATAATGACATTCTGTAATTATTAAGCAACTAAATGACAAAAATGTTGACAATATTAATTTCTTTTTACATTTTTACTGGGGTATTTATAATTTTCAGCAGTACATTTTTTCCAACACTCCACTTTGTATTTTTGACAATATGTGTTGTAGCCATTCACCTATTCCTCTTTATAAGCAGAAAAGTAAACAACATATTAATTGAAACTTTTGATGAAATTTATAAGACCATTTGTTGATGAATCATGGGTTGACACAGGATCTTTTCCCTTTAGTTCAGGTTGTATCACCTTAGCCAGCTGTTTTCCAAGCTCCACCCTGGTGGGATACATAGTTGTAGAATTATTTATATATTGTTCATTTATGGAAATGTACTAATTCATCACATTAAGGAGGGATAAAGAAAGAAGGCATAAAAACAGCATATTTACTTGTATACATATACTAATCATATAACAATATAATAACTTATAGTGACTGGTGTAAAGGTAACTAACTTAAAGTAATGGAGAATTAATTGTTTGTTTGTAATTAAGCACAAAGCTACACAATGGGCTATCTGTGCTGTGCCCACCACGGGTAAGAATTACTTGTAAAACTGTAAACCACAGCTGTAAACATAATGATTAGTATCACTAAAAATATGACAAGAAATCTGAAAAATACTGATGTTTATGTAATAAACCACATTAGAAAGATTGTACTAAATTGCATCTCCCTTTAACCCTATGGACACAGGTAATGGTCATAGGGCATATCATAATGTTTGTAGACTTAAATTCAAAATATTATTTACCTGATATTTTATAAATGTATGTCAATACGTATGGCATTAAATTGTAGATTATAATTCAAATTTTAGTATTATACACTAGTTAATTTATTAATTTGAAAGTAAATATTAAAAAAAAAAGAGGCTAAATACCAATTTTTTGTGTGTCACATGGTAAATTGCCTTCTGGGTTTTGTCGAATTACATTTTATGATGTCCATAATACAATGTCTATAGTTTCTTATGAATTAGGAACTAAAATTTCTGATATTGGCAAGCTAGAATATAAAATAAGAACCTCCTGCCTTTTCTATTTGCCGAGATATCTCAATATTTAGTGAATCCACCATAGAGGCTCTACCCACCACTTCATCATTTAACACCTTACCTTCCCGGGGCCATTTTGTCTTATCATGAGAGTAAAATCGCATTTGTGAATTGAAAAAATTATAGAGAACTTATCTTTTATTGGTTTTCAGATTTTATTTTTGTAAATAGTAGCATAAAATTAAATTATTTGTACTAAATTGCATTATTTAAAGAAGTTTGAAGAGAAATTTAATTTAAAAAATCCCAAAATATCTTGGATACTACAAATTAGCTCCTTCGTAAGAAAAAATTTTTTTTATACATTTAAAAAAATTTTCCTTGCACTTTAGCACTGGTTCTGCCATCTATGATTGGTATTTAAACCCTTTTCTAGCATGTTTTCTTTATAAAACAGCATCTGGGCATATTAAACCTCAGTTGTAAAACTTTTAGCCAGTCATAGTGAAAGGTGTCATTTTCAGTACCCTGCTATTCCAATCATTGTATTTCACATTTAACAAATCATAGGATGATAAGCAAAGCACGTGATGAAACTTTGTCCCATGAACGTGTATGGTAGTTATTAGAGTAACTGCCATTTTATGTAGAGGTTGTACTTAGTAGTGGTCAATAGTACTTTTTTTTCTTCTTTTTATAAGTCTTAGAAAATTCTCTAATGGAAAAACTGCATGGGATGTATGCAACTTTTATTTTTCTATAGCAGCTTAAATCATGCTCTATTGTGTGTATATATATATATATGTGTGTGTGTGTGTGTATTATTTATTTACATTGAAAAATTAACTCAAAATAGATGTATTTTGGAGAAAGAAGTTGATCCACCAATGTTAGGGTTAAGATCTATCAAGTGGGAAGTGTATGGTCTTTATGTGGATTAGGCTTAGCGCTTTGAACTGAAGGAGTTTGTGATTTTTATATTCTTTTGCATTTAAATTAGCAGTTTTAAGTTCAATAATTTAGTATAATTTCATATTTAGTTCATAATAAAAATATGATTTAGTATTTATAATGATAACTTTGTGTGATTTGTACGTACTACTTGTACCACTATGATAGTTTTAGGCTTATTGTAAGAATTTTATATTTTTTCTTCTTACTATCATTACTTAGTAAGACCCACACTTCTGTTGTTGTTGTTTTATAATTAAAACAGACTAACTGATATATAAAAAAGTTTATTCTGATATTTTGCAAAAGGTTTAAAAAAATTTAAATTACATAAAAGTTTATATAAAAGTTACAAATCAAGATAACATACATACAAAAGGAGCATCAATGTATGGATAAACAATATCAAACTGTTATAAGTTATGCACTGAGAAGTATATGTACAGTTGTATGCAAATCATGCTTAGATGCAAAAATAGTAAAAGTTACACTGAGATGTTATAATCACATCAGTTTATATATCAAGAACATATAAACTGTACATTTGTTCACTACTCATGAATATGTACATTGAAGACTGTACATGTTTATACAAAAGCAAAAATAAGCTAAACACTGTTACTAAACAATTGTCTGATGATGAACAATCCAAGTTGTACATTATTCAGTGAAATAGTGAAAATTTTATACATAATTCTTGAGCAGAAACTAAAACTCAAAATATGATAAAAAGTGATAAAACTCTTGCAAAAGTCTTTGTTGAAATATTTTCATTTTTTATGACTAATAAGTGCAATGAGTTTTAGACCACTAATTCACAAATAGAATTGCATTTAAAATAAGTGAAAATACCTAAATGCAAATGCTGAGTGATATTATAAAAAAGAAAATCTAAAGAAAAGCTTTTTATACCATTTGACAATTTTAAATGGAATGGAATAATAGTTAAGAAATTGATCGTAAAGATCAACCCCTCCCATAAACTTGTTGTAATCCAAGATTAGCTGTGGCTTGCTAATCATGTCACCCTATCTTCTTGTCACATCCTTTACTGTAGCATTATGCATTGTAGAAACAGCATGAACATCTCTTTTATCAGTCCACTTCATAGCAGTCATTGAAAAACTGTGACTCTCCCCTTTTTAATTACCTGGAAACATGTCTGGGAAGTGAGCCCTGTCCTTCCTACAAGTGCCACAAGCATAAGTGCCAAGTGAAAGCAACTTATCAAACAGAGTTGGGGAAAGTATAAAAGTTATCAGTAAAAACAGAGTGTCCCCTTCCCAGTTACTTTTCCATCAGAGTCATTACAACTGTGCTAGCTAATCCCTTGGAAGGTACAGATCCCTCTTTAACAGAGTATATTATAAAATTTAAACAGTATCCAGTCACGGAAAAGTTGCCAGACTGTGTAATAAAGATATAAATAGCATGAGACAAGTGGGAAGCAGCAGACAGACAACAATAGACAGATAATAGAAAAAGAGAATATAGTTGTATGAAGTTAAGTACCGCAAAGGTGATAGGCCTAATGTTTAATATGCTAGAGTGAAACTAACAGTATATAAAAAATAAAAATAAGAAGGAAATTTTTTTTCCTTCAAAGCGTGGTTCTATAGTAATTGAATCAGCCTGGGTACATGAATTATAGTAACTTGCACCACAACTGTAAGTGAATCACACACAGAATACTAGTAATATAGAGAAGATAGTTCGACTTGTCAACTGAAATTCTAAACTAATTGAATAGGCCTAAGTGGACTTTTGACAAGAAGAAGAGAACTATATATAAATAGTGTTAAATGATATACCTGTAATCTCTATAGTGTTGTACATACGTTTAACTTGTTCTGAATATCTATATATTATTTGAAAACAAGTAAAGTGTGTGCTGTTTATTCATTGTTGAATTTGTCGCTAACAAGTCACAAACACCTACTGTAGAAGAATCCTAACCCCAACAACAACATAGTATATATTTGTACTATTAAGAACTATAAGTAAAAGTCATTTATTGTGACAATTGGCAAAAAGAAGTACATATATATATATATATATATATATTATTTTTCAAATCTGACACTTGGTAACAATGCTGAGAAGAAAAAAAAAGTTAGAAAAAAATCAAGGAGTCTGACACCTACTTGCTTGATGGGAAACAGGCTCTCCTTGGATAAAGTTCCCTAACAATCTGGGATGCTCATCTTTTGAGAACTTCCCATTTCCATTCTGCACTACAGGCCAGGGGCTTTTCTTGTGTCTTCTTGACTTTGGCCATTTTGGAAGTTAATGTAGTGCTGGTCATGGGAAGATCAGTAACTTCAGATTGTTGGTGGTCATGAGGAGAGTCTTCTTCCCTTGAAGGTATGTCAGGCTCCTCAAACAAAAGTGATTCCAGCAATGCTGGTTCTTGCTCTTCCACATTTTTATTTATTGTGGCTTCTTCTTCCAATCCAGAAAGAGACTCTTCTTCAGAGAAAGAAGCAAAAAACAATTTCAGTGCTTCATCTAAAGAAAGATTTTTCTTTTTCCCAAGTGCTGAAATATCTTCCATCTAGGAAAATTAATATGCTATTAATATTCAGTTGACATAATGAAAACATGACACATATACATTTGAATTATTGAGCTTTAA